GATGGAGATTGACTTTGTCAAAATGAACTTAGATGGAAATTAGGTGTCAGGTTGAAATATGGCCTTATTTGCAGCATGAATTCGGAAAATAAGTTTATTTTGAATTTTAATAAACTAAACGTTCACCAAAAAACTTTAGTGAGAAAAATTGAAAAAAACGAACTAGAAACATATTAACGCCAAACATTCGGTAGAATTTATAGAATATTGTAAATTTATGGTCTATTACCAACATGTATGTATATATATATATGTATTGTATGTCTTGTTTATACTGGCTTTGTACATTCAAACTTTGATGTGAAGAATTTTCAAAAAAGCGACTTTCATGTTTTTATCAGTGATGCCAAAGATTAGCCATGTTAAGCAGATGTTAATTTGACAGAAGATAATTCCAACATCGTTCATGTATAAGATGACGACGGATAAATTAACTTTTGTTAAAATTTTGACTGCTCTGATTAGAACTATTGGAGTCCAACACAAGAAGTAGAAACCCACGATGATTGCTACTGTTTTTGCGGCTTTAAATTCTTGCTTCTTTGTGGGAACTTGATTTTCTGAAGTGTAAAATTGTTTCAATTCTTAAATAAGAGTATGTTTTACTTATTGATCTGTAATATATTTTTCAAATTTTCTCATCACCCCACTTTACCGAACGACAATTTGTAAAAAGACATTTTGCCGAATGATGTCTTTCTGTGAAATACTTAGAATATACCTGCACTGTCATTCGGCCGTGTGAATGATGTATTCTTTGCATTTCGAACGTTTAGCTGGAAGATAATATTTTGCGCAAAAGATTAATTACTTTTAGATTACTTTGTTGAAGACAGCTATTTTGACTGGCCTGCTATAAATGATGAAAGACATCCTCCAAGATTATCAACAGATTAATGGAATTGTTATGCTGCTGTTCAAATTGAATTCTCAAAACCAATAGTTCCTTAAGATGGCATCGACGATAAAAGCAAATCAAACGACAAAAAGGAAGTTTTTTCTGGAATGGGATGGGAATGAGTCTAAACTGTTGTGAACGATTATCATAACCGCAATTTATTTAATTGTTATCTTAGAAGATTTGTACTCAATTTTTACACAAATGCTTGATAATTAGCGATTTCGCGATGCTATTTCAATTTTTTTCAACATAACTTTCGACAAAATGTCTTTCGGAAAATTTGGGTGTAACCAAATGTAGCCGAAAATTGTAGTTCGTCAAACATCACCCCAACATAATTTCCATTAACATTAGAACTATTATTTTTAAGGTGAATCTGTTGTGATATATGCGTTTTTATTTTTAGCGTCTAAAATTAAAAGTTAGTTTTTGAAATATATGATGAAACGATGAAAACTTAATAATGTTTTTTTTATAAATTATGGTTGATTTTGCAATTATCAATCGTTCAAAGAGTGAGTGAATCTGCTGATTAATGATTTGTCAGAATAGGTTGAGCGTTGACAGTTAAATTAATAAATGTGCTAACATTAATTCAAATTCAACCGTTTCAAAAATTTCAAAAAACTTGACCTTTTTTGATGATTGGTTTTATATCATTTCCATTTGAAAGGGATGTAGTGATGGTAGAAACTATCGCGAGTTTTGTATTGTTAACTATTTCAGAAGAAATTCTTTTTCTTTGTTGAAAGGCTACAAACATAATTCTTGAATAGGTATAAAAAATGACGATAGTGACGACAATATAGTCACTAATCAGAGCAATGGACATTTGTGTATCTGTGTATGCAACAGAGCATGAAGAGCTGCCGTTGAAAACGTAGGCAGGAATGTAGCAAAATGTGCATACGACAGATGCAAATATCATTAGCTTAATATGCCTCTCCGTAAGCCAGTTCTCATAATGGAACGGGTGGACAATAGCTATATACCTGCAAAAGTTATATGAATGCATTTGATATACATTAGCCCATAAACAAAAAAATTTAATGAACGATACAAATTTTCTTATTTTTCAGTTCATCATTTTCAAGTAATGTAAGTTTTAAATACGATGTTACGTGTAATTGCATTTACAAAAAATTGCAGAGAATTGTAAAGTAAATTTTATAAATTTCATAAATTAATTCATATATACTTGAACATTTTTTAAACTGTCCAAACCTAAACAATTTAAATTTATGAAGAATTAAAAATACTAAATAATTTTAATTTCTAAATTAAAACAGTTTCAACTAAAAAATTGTTATATTTAAGAAATTTTTAAAATAGGCATAAACTTAGAATAAATTTGTATGTTATAAACTTTATACTTTATATAATATAAAGAATTAGTCAGCAATATGCAACCAGTCTTGAAATGGTCGAATGTTTAAAGTTTCAACACATTCAAAGTTTTAATTATTTTTTTTATTCTATTTTTATTTTATATTAATGCTGAACGAATGAACTTAAATCAGTAAGTAATATATTCAAATTCAATCAAAGTATTTTCATAGGCGTTTAAATTTTGCTTGACTTACTGATTCAAAAATTTCTATTCGTTGAAATACAGTTGATTGCAAATTTGAAAAATTCAACTCGCTAACAAATAATAAATATTTTAAAGTTTAAATTATTTAACTAAATTAAATAAATGATCATTTTGTTAAAAACGGTAACCTATCGATGGAGAGCAGTAAAATCTGAAAGTAAACCAAAACAGGACCCAACTGTTGGAAAGGAATTGACATAAGAAGGTCTAGTCTCACTGAACAGGCGGGTGTTTCGTAATAATACAAACGAAGACTCCAGTATGCCTGGATGAAAGCAGACAAACCACAAATCATGGTGCAGACTGAGAGACTTGCAATAAATGCAGCCGTTGGTTTACGCATGCTGGAAACGTGTCTCTTCAGGGCTATTAATGTCATGGTATTGCCGAACCAACCCGTCGTCACTGTTATAAAGAGAACGATACATTTTACTAATGCAGAAGTTTTTGAATACAAACTATCCCTAGCAAGGAAGGATGATGGCTGAACGTCCACGCTGGTCGAATTGTTCATAAGAACATTTGGAGGGATCTCAATTGAACTGTTTACATGAACATTTGAGATGATCACCGAAAAGTTGTTCGGAGTGGTAGAAGTCATTTCAGTTGAACTAACATCGTTGATCAAATTTACAAAACTGGACTTTGTGTCGCTATCTAGAAAAAATGTGAAGAAGTTTGCAGTTGTCGAAGCCTCCAAAAGAAACATTGTCGTTGAAATGTTTTAAATAAATTGACCATACATATTTAAATATTAGGCTGTTAAATCTTGGGATAACTTTGTGACGTTCGTCTCCGAGTCCAATTTAAACCAAGCGTCTGTATACAATATAAACGTGTATATATATAAATATGGCCTTATTTGCAGCATGAATTCGAAAAAAAAGTTTATTTTGAATTTTAATAAACTAAACGTTCACCAAAAAACTTTAGTGAGAAAAATCGAAAAAACGAACTACAAACATATTAACGCCAAACATTCGGTAGAATTTATAGAATATTGTAAATATATATATATATATATATATATATATATATATATATATATATATAGATGCATATGTATGCATACATACATACACGTTAATATATAAATGTGACGATGCAGTAAACTTACACCCATATGGTCGATTGTTCCGCTACTATTAATAATAACATAACATAACATTTAAATAATGAACGTAGATTAAAATCCATGTGCTCATATCTAATATGTGATAATAATTTAAATGTCCAAAAAACAATAATAATATGAAATAGTATTTAAAAAAAATTAAAAAAAATTAAAAAAAATAAATATTTACAACAATAATAACAACAACAATAAAAATAAATTACATTACCATATCGTTAAACAAAATAATCGAATATATATATATATATATATATATATATATATGCAATACGTATCTGTCTTTCAATTCCTATATTATAGAAATCATGTGTCAACTGCAAATAAAATTGACAAGGTCGTTCTTAAACAAATCATAAAGAAATGTTACACCAATCAATGATACTAATAATATAAAATTTAGGATGTACTACAATAATTGTAAGACATCACAATTGCACTCCTAAAGACGATTCTACATTAAAAGTAATAAATGAATTTAGATGCCATATTGACGACTGTGCGCGTCAACAACATTCGTATATTGGTGTTACGACCACTTAACTATCAAGAAGTCTCACAATGCATACACAGAGAAGAGCCATCAACTTTCACTTGCAATCGACACATGCAACTCCAATAACCCGCCAAATTTTTGACAACAACACAAAAATAATTTATCATAACACCAACACAATACATCTAAAAATTGCAGAAGCTGTCCTAGTAGATATCAATAAACCTTAAATAAACATCCGACAAAAGAATGATTACATTATTATCAACTCGACGCCTTAATACTAACTTCAATAACGATGAAGAACAAAGAAATGACAACAACAAAGATGAATAATACAATACCTACTAAGTAACTCACTTGGCTTAAGAAACAACTTTACTTTTTTTAAAGAAACTATATAAACCAAACCTTCACAGAAGATGATTTGTGAAAAATCGAAAAAAGGCATTATGAATTTGGATAAAAACAGTTTTATTAAATTTTCATGATGAATTTGGATAATTATTCTATTTTCAATAAATTGAACAATTCCCAGAAAACCTTTTAAGGAAAATTGGAAAGACAATTTTTAAATTGATTAATGCCAACAATTCGGTAGAATTTACACAATACTTTACTGTGTGTATATATATATATATATATATATATATATATATATATGTGTGTGTGTGTATATATATATATATCATGTATATAACAATGTGTGCATTTGTGCGTACGTGTGTGTGTACATCTATAAGTCAGATATGATCGAGTGATAGGAATTAGTCTGAATGTGGGTGGCTGAGATTTACTGCTATAAATTCCTATAATACCCAACTATAAATAATAATAAATAATAATGCAAATAATAATAATAATAATATAACAATAATGAACATTAATAAAAATATTAATGAATAATAATAATAATAATGAATAATAATTTCATGTTATATTAATGATGCGAAAGAATTATTAAATAAAACCGAGAAAACTAACAATGATAACCGAAAAAAGATGAAGATGATGATAATGATGATCATGGTGGTGGTGGTAATGAGGAGTATGATAATGAGGATGATGATGATAAGAATATTGACAATAATATTGTTAATTGGTTGATAGAAGATTCGAAAAAGACTAATTGAATGTAATCGATCATATTGAAAATGGCGGGGGATGCAATTTTATTTGCACGTAAAATTTGTTACTTTCTCAAATTTTCGTACATTTATTATTTTAATGACAGTTTATTTTGAATTTCTCGGAGCAAGAAACCAAGAAGGTTTTTATATGCAACGAATTTAAAATGTATTAGGCATTTGAAAGATTTAACCTAATATATTTCGTTGTTTTTTAATTTCATCAGATGTCAGTAACCAATATCATTTTCATTATAAATCTAATTTAATATTTAAATGAACGCCATCAATTTGAATCTCTTTTTTATCATTTCAAAATTATAATTGAGTTTCAAACAACTTAAACGTCTCAGTTTATCATAAAATTGTAAGCGATAAAAATTAAGATGTAGAAGTACGCAGGTATGCAGTAAGGCGTCGACGTACGATGAGACAACTTGGGTGGCTTTTAACGCACTCGCTTCCTGCCGACGGAGCATTTGCGACGGAATGTACTTGCTCGTGTTATAAGTACAGAGTTCAACATTAATTTCAATTCTAAGGGCAATATAAATAGAAGATACACTTGGAAACAGAAATTGTATGGGTTGAATGGTAGACGAACACTGTTTGCACTGACATTTTTTTCTACCTCGTCTTTTATTTGAAAACAACAAAAAACTATCAACTTTAATCAAAATTCCATTTTAAAAACGTTTGGTTGTACATAAAATAAAAATGTTGATTACATTTGTATTTGTATACGTAAAATGTTTAAAACTTAACGGTTCTCTATTACATTTCAATGTTGAACATTTAATGAACTGGGACGCTTTATATTTTGTTAATTGATTGAAATGTAAGCTATCAGAGTATTTTTTTGTTTTTTTGTAGCAATTTCCATCTAAAATTTCCATATATATGTAAGTCAAAACAAAATTTTATTCAGTTTAGTCAAAAGGCCACAAAAACCGAATGTGTTTTTGTTGTCAAGCCAAACGACGAATAAACATATCAAAAGAGTCGCAAAAACGTGCATATTTTAGCTTCTAAGATCCAGTAGAGTCAAAAAATCATTAAACAATCACCGATGCAGGCCTTAACGCATTTATCAACTAACTCAACACGACATAACTGTTGCTTTTTTACTCACCATTGAATTACAGTAAAAGCTTTTTTTAAGCTTTACTCAAAAAATCGATTGTTATGTTGCAAGATATTTGAAAGAAAAGCTGTTAAAATTATATTTCAAAAAATTCTTCATTCACATTATTATTCAAACTTGAAAGCAAAGAAAAACTCTTCTCCAAAACTGCATTCAAAAACACGACAAATGACATAATGTCACCATCATACTGAACGAAAAAATGCCGTATTCATAGAGAACGAACTAAAAATAATGATGAAGATAATGACAAGATAATAACCTTACAATGAGCAACATTTCAGCAAAATTGTTTATTCTTTTCCTTACCAAACAAAAACGTTATTTGTCATAAAAAATACAAAGTAGTAACTTCAAACCAATCCAGGAAATGAATAGTTGTCACCATAGATATAACGTGTGATTTTTATAGATATGACGTGTGGTTCTCAAATAATACATGTTTTTTTTAAATATTTTTCAGATACATGTATGATGTATATATATATGCATATGTGTGTGTGGTAATTGTGTTTGTTTTGTAATTATATAGTTGCTAAAACAGGAACTGGCTGCAAAATATATACAATCTGAATACCAAAAAAATTTGCGAAAGGAAATTTAATTTTATATAACCAATGAAACATGCGGCCATCACCATCTCACACAGCAAATATGCAGCCAGGCTTGGACTGGGACAACGGGAAATTTTCGGTGAGCCAACGGCTTCCAATTACCAAAAGAAAGTTATTATACTTTTTATTTTAACTGAAATTACCTTCAATTATATGACAGCTTCAAATAATAGTTCGTTTGTACTGAATATAATCAAACTGAAACAGCGAAATCAAGACTATAAGAAGTCTAACTATAATTATTTATGCCTTCAGTGGTTATAACCTATAACATATTAATTTTTACGCCAAATTTTGATTCAATTTTCAAAATTTGCAAACAGTGATCTAAAGAAAGGAAATCTCAACATTGAATTGCAGACTATGTTGAAAGAAAAATGAATTAAAACCATCCACTTGAAAATGTGAAATATAAATTTTGTGTCAATGTTCACAACGCGGTTATGGATCAAGTAATTAATAGTACCAAACAGAGATTCTCTGAGCATGGAGTCTTTACGCTGACTAATCTAGCTTGAATTTTAGGAATATCGCAAAAATTTTGAAAAAAAGAATGCCTAGTGACGCACTGCAACACGTAAGTGGGTTGTTCAACAAAACTGAATATACCGAAACAAAAGATCACTTCAAACTGAATTATTAGAATTTGGGAGGAAATAGAAAAATTTTAAATATGGGTATAATTTGATTTTTGAAATGAAAGTATCGGATCCAATCTCGGATAACATTTAACAATCTGAATCAGTAGAATTACTTGAATATACGTACGACAATTTTCCCGGGCCGGTTTTTATAAGCAGTTCGACCATGTATGCAGCTCCTTCCTGGTCTGGTTTCGCTACAAAACAACAACTTCAGCAACTACAGTCTCTCATCAAAAAATTAATTCGTTTCAACTATCTACCTGCATCATAGCCTACCGTCACTCAAATATTCAACACACTCGATTCAAGACTGTTCAAGAAAGTGGAAAATAACAAAAACCACGTCATCCATCCTCTACTACCACCAATCAAAACTACTACACACAACCTTCGTCAACGCAAGCGTAACTATCAAGTCGCTACTCAATCAACATTTCAGGATAAGACTTTAATCACAAGACAACTTAAATATATTATAACTCAATTAAACTTTGTCATTTACTCAATCTAGTCTATTCTTTTTCCTATCGATCACTCAACTAACTTGATATTAGTCTCTTAATTAATTATTTTATTTATTTGTCTTTTTAAACCATGGCTTTATTTTATTTTCTTTACTTTTCTTACTTAAACTATTTTTTCCGTTATTTATTTTTCGTTATCATTTTATACCATTTTATTGCCTTGCATGCTGTAACCAGTTTCTGCGTTTGTCAGATTCTGGTTTTTTTTAAGAATAATAAAAAAACCTATTCTTTCTCCGCTAAATTAACTTTCAAATAAATTATAAAAAGATTTAGTGAATACAAATTTATATTTTATCTTTGGTTTGTTTATGACTGTTGCAACACGAAATCGTCAAGAAGGTAAATGTCATGTGGGTTTGTATGAAAATCATTATCTCCAATAAATAGATAAACAAATAAACATAAACAAAACAATTAAAAATAAACAGTCACTGAAAAATTATCATATTAGTATAAATATAAAAACTGACGACTTGAAATTTTGAATGCACCAACAAAACAATTTCTAGTAAAACATCATCAGCTATCACATAACAAGAAACGTACTTAAGTGAACAACGATAACTTATACAGGCCTGCTTCATTATAAAATATTATGAACCGATGAAATATGTGCACATTGAAATAGGTGTATAGAAGCAGGTGTAAGAATTTGTCGCCAGTCTGTAATGTATTTAAAAACATTCCGTCGACATTTTGATGCGGGAATCCATCAATTACAATCTTTAAACTGGCAACATTTCATCAGTAAGTGTTTTTAGAGGACCGTCGTCCCAATTATGTAACAATTCATTTTTTATTGCAATTATTATTGTATTCGTTTTTATTTCATTCTTGTTTTTATATTAACATATTGACATAGTTTCATAAATTGTTGGTGATTTGTAAGGATTTATTTCAAATGGTTTTTTAAAAGTTACTTTACATTTTTAAAGTTAATCGTTTTTCATATTTTCATGTCTTGTCTAAATCCGCCGGTACTTTGTTTTTCTAAATGTTAGTTGTGATTTAAGTAATACAATTTGAAAAAATATGTTTTTGCTTTCTTCTTAACCTAATAAATTTAAGATGAAATATTGAGTGGTACTACTTTGATACACCATCAGGGGTGACCCAAAAAAACTATTTTTTTCCGGGTTTTTTATTAAATTAATAAAAAAACGGGTATCCTAAGACATTTTTGTTTTTTTTAGATCTGGAATCTTTACAACTTATGTAACGGTAACCGATACTTTATACCATATTTTTCGGACTGCTTGGGTTCTGGTACTAAAACTTTTTTTTATTGAGCCAGTGTTTTCGAAAGTCGACTTAACTTTTTCGATTTTGTCTTACTATTAATCCTAATTGAGTTGCTTAAAAAACTAATTGAAATTTAAAATAATATTCTGGGGTTCATTATCATTATATTGTTATAACCGTCGCATGTATATTCGCTAGAGGCGCCACGGACGCACAGAGTCCGAGAAAGAACTGGAACTTCTGACAGCAAGATATCTAGTACGTTCGAGAAGCGTCGATTAAAAGATGGGCAGGATATCGATTAATCCTGATCGATTATGTGTTGATTGTTTGTGTTGAAAGCGATATTTGATATTTGTAGTGTTGAGGGAGTTAACTGTTACTAAAACTGAAATATCAGTTAACTGAAAAAATCATTTCAGTTAATCCACTTCGATAATAAAGACGATATCAACAACCAAAAACAACAAAAACAAATATTTTTACCGGATATCATACTGCATTTCTTTCTTTACAAATGATTTAGTCTCAATCGGCTGCTTTTGTTATCGATAAACAGTTGAGTTACTTACATTTAAATTTTAGGAAAACTTTAAAACTGACCTGATGTTTTTAAAGAGTAAGCTCTTATACTGGAGTGGAGTAGATGTTGTTGGTTGTGGTAATTATGTTTGCTGGTTCTTTTCGATTTTTTAACTACGATATAAAGCATGGATATATATATATATATATATATATATATATATATATATATATATTTATATATATATATCTATGATATAAAGTCGTAAAAATCAAACGGTTGATTAAAGTTTGGGTAATTATTTTGATAAGAGCTCTTCAAAGAACATTTCTAAAGAAACCGTTTATACAAGTTTCATATAACTTCAACAATCATTCAGATTCGTTTTAATGAGGTTTTTTCTAGTGAAATCACACATTTATTTAATATTTTAGAAGTACCAGTAACATTTTCAATGCACATTCATAGGATACTGTTGTCATATACGGTACAATTTTAGTGTTCTAAATATGCGATGCTGGTTATATATCAATTCCACTTTTAAATAATAAAACATGTGACTCGTTCCATTGTAAATAAGTTTAACCAAGATTTCTGAATGACATTTAAAAGTTTAAAATTTTAAATTAATAGGATATGACACGTTAAAGTGTTATCATATTAGTGCCATTTTTCAGTCAACAGAACTTAAATGAAAACCAAAACTAAAATAAAATTGACTTATTTTACTATAGGAAGCTTTTTTTTTCTTGGTGGAATTGAATATGGTTGATTGGTTTTTTAATTTAATTAATTTTTATAAAAATTAATTATTAAATTATCAGAATTAACTTAATTTTATTCTTAACAATTTAACAATAATTTAGCAAAATCAATTTTTATTCATCTGTCAGCTTATTAATTATTGGAACATATTATCAAAAATTGACCAAATGTAAATATTAATATTCAAATGAGATCACTCATTAGTCATTATTCAGTTTTTTATTATTTATTACTAACTTTGAATTATTGATAAATATAAAATTTGCCTATTTCACAAAATTTTTGTTCTGGTAATAAATTAATTTTGTTTTTAAAAGCCGTCATTCTGCCAACATTATGGTTGTACCTGTACGAAGTTTTCAACAAACCTTCATATTACCTCGGTATTGTGTTGTCTGTTTTTTCAATGGCTGACCTTCTTTCAAGTCCCATCTTTGGCAAGTTAGTGTTCATTTAATTAGGCATCATTATTTTATTTTAATGATACATTTTTTATAATTTAATTAGAAAATGATGGTCTACTAAATAGAATAAGACAAATCAAATAGAGTAAGACCAAGTTTGGCTGACAACTTTTGAATTAATGATAAATTGAATGAAATTTATATTTTGGGTCTAAGTTAATAAACAATTTTTGAAGATTTTTTTGTTGTTGAATAATTCCTGAAAATGTTTCTAGTAGCCTTATATTTATGATTTTTTAAAAGTTGTTTGGTATGTGTTAGGCAATATTAAATTATTTTCCTCAAATTTTTTAGAATCTCTGATGTGACAGGGCACACAAAATGGTTGTTGGTTTTCTCCAATCTGCTTCAGATCACAGGCAGCTTCATCTACATCATTAACATAGGGCCTGAGTTTTTGATCATCAGCCGTTTGATCACTGGTTTGTTAGTTCTTTCAAATTAGAATTATAGATACTAGAATTATAGTTTAGTAGTTTTTAACAATTGGTGAAACATCAATCAACTGACTAATCACACAACTAAACAACCAACTGGCCAACCACACAACTGACCAACTAACCAATCACTCAGTTGACCATCCAACCAATCACACAAACAAACAGGATTTGGATCAGGTGTTTCAACTTCCTTGATGGCAGACCTAGCTAGGACAACATCAAATGACCAGAGGACATCCACCTTTGCATCATTCATGGCTCTTAGGCAGTTTGGTCTAGTCATAGGTAGCTCAATATTTTATTTTATTAGGTGGTGAGATGTTGCGGTGGTCTAGATTTTTATCTTACACATGCATGTTGTTGAAAACTCCCAGAAATACTCAGGAAAGAATTTTATAAATCAATAAAATTTAATTAATTTTTTTGTAATGTAAATTATTTTTATTTGGAATTTTCAAACTTAAAATATATCAATGTAAATATAAATATATAATTTAAAATTTCAAAATGATGAATGATGCAACGTATAAATATTTGTTGTTGTTATAATGTTTAATTATCACAATATGATTTGTCATGTGATTGTTTTTAATTACTCAAATAACTTCTTTCTCAACTGAAAATTCTACATCTTAAACATTTGACAAATTTTCATCAATCACAAAGTCATGCATATAAGTATCATTAATATTGATGTTTTTCAAACACACAACCCACCTAATTAACATTGATTTATTCCTACACAGAACTCATTAATATTAATTTATTCATTCACAGACACCTCTTTAATATTCATGCTCCTAATTAATATTAACAGGGCCAGGATGCAACCTGTTTTTGGCTTATTTTGATTTCACATTTCTCTCATTCCCCATCAACAAATATACATCTCCAGGGGTTGGTTAGATGGACTGCTTTGTTTGCCTTGTTTACATGCACAATTGTTTTTATGAAAAAATTTAATTTTTTTTTCTCTAAGTTTTCTTGTTGAAATTAATGATTTTTATTCATAACTGAAAATGGTCTATGAGTTTTTTGTTTTCTTTTTATATTGAAAAAATTGCAATTAAGCTGCTAATTAGTTGCTGACATACACAAACCCACATACATATACAGCATACCCGCACACACTCACACCACACACACACATACATACATATACTAAAAATATACAACAGTTTTTTTTGATGGTTCTGTGGTGCCTACATGAGCTCCTTGCATTATTTTGCTTCTGGAACCTGCCAAAGATCTACCTAGCTGAACATTTAGAGCAGCAGCAGCAACAACTTCACGAAGAATCAGAGGCTGCTAATCTTCAGCTTTCCTTCGATGCTACTAGCCCACATTCCTTTGATGAACTGACGCCAAGTAGTGCAGGTTGTGTTGAATCACTTCGTTCTTACCACAGCCTGGTTAGAGATGGTGTTGGTAGTGGTCACGAGGAGGAAGAAGATGACGACGTCGTTGGAGCTGGCGCTGTTGGAAGCGTTGTTGCAAGTGGTGTTGTTAAGAAAACTGAAATGATTAATCCAACTGCAAATGACTGTGATGATTTACAAAATTGTTTCAATGAATGTTTACAAAAGTTGACTAGTAAAAACGTTGGTAGTCAGCAGCAACCGAATGTCTTCAAGTCCCAAGGAAGAAGTGTCCAACAACAGAATGTCTCATCTGATAACATTCCATCAACGAGCGATAGTAATCCTTTCAAGGACCATATGTACTATCGTTGTAAGAGGATGCTCAACGCACCTGTTGTTGGTGCGGCTGAAGAAGCTGCTTCGAATGCGAGCAAGTCACGAGAAGAACCAGCAAAAAGATTTAAATCTAACGACAATAATAATTCCTCAATTTACTCTGATATAATAAGCAACTCTTTGCTCGTAAAATATTGGGGAAATAAGTATCTAGGCAACTTTGAAAATATTAAATCTCCAAACAATACTGATTCGAAGAAACTCTTCCCACACTACAGCCGTCGTTCTATTGTAGCAAGCAAAAGTGCACCACAGCTTGCTGATAACAACGAAAAACCAAAAAATTTGAAACGTAGGAAGAGATTGGTACGCGTGAATGTGCACATGATAAACGAACGTGGATGTCAGAATATGCCATCCAAACTTCTTCCTGGGTGCTCACAAATTGCTGGCCACGAAGATGATGCTGAAGGTGATGGTAGTTCAATTTTTGCTACTGGAAATATTTGTGATAATAAAATTGCTGTCGTCGACGACAATGACAGCAACAAGAATGATTATGACAGCAACAAGTGTGATGATGACAGCAACACTAACGGCGGCAGCAGTACTTCTTTTGTTGGCAAGTGCATGAATAACGAACTTACTAACATCAATCAAATTAATGTTATTCCTGCTAACATTGATCTTAATGTAAGCAACAATAACAAAATATATAGCAATAGAAGAAATGACAATAATAGCAATAATAATAGTAGCACTAGTAATAAAAATATTTTTGCCAAAAATTACCCAAAAAAGAATAAAAATAATAACAAAGCCAAACAGATAGCGGATGATTCATCAAGCATTTCTGAAACGAACGACTTGATGGAGATAGCTGAGCAGTTGATCATACAAAACAACGAATTAACATCGCCTATATTTGCGAATGATATCTTAATGAATAGAGATAGCTTTATCTATGAAAACAACTCTGGCAATACTTCTAATCCCATTCCGTACATTTCCACTAAAATAAGATCCAGATCGGTTGGGAATTATATGTTTGTACTGTCTAATGAGTACGTGAGGGATTATGATGATATAGATGAGGAGGAGGAGGAGGATGATCAGGACAATCCGTGCTTTATTTCAAGTCGGAATCCGGATTATGTGGCTAATCATTATAGACCCGTCCGCCTTCGCAATCGTAAACGTTTAAATCAGGATCATCATCATCATCATGGTGATCATTTTCATCATCATAGTGATCATCATCGTCGTCGTCGTCATCATCATCGTGACCTCCAACATTTAAGTAGATGTTCTCATAATACCAGATGCATGGCGAACGGAATTGACAGCGACTTGGGAGTTAGGGATGCAATCAGGAATGCAGTTAATACAGGTGGAAATATGAACAGAAGAACTTTTAAAAAAAATCAATTAAAAATTAATTCAAATTTGAGTAAACATTCAGTTGGTCAAAACAACGCTAACAATTGTGATAGTACTATTAATAGCACGGACAACAGTAACATTAACAACAACGCCAGTAGCAACACAAACGATGATTCAGCAACTGCACCGGATGTGCTCTGTGTCGCGCCGAGAAAAAGCCGAGTTAGACCGAATGACCAAGATAGAGAAAAATATGTTGAACTGGCCAGTAATGTTATTCACGAAGATTTACAGTCAATGAACACCTGCAGGGGTTGGTGTTGCCGTTGCCATCATAGTTGTCATCATCACATCATTTTAATCATCACCTTCATCATTTTAATCATCGCTATCATCGGTTTAATCCTTATCGTCCTTAGCATTTAGCCATCTTCGTCATCATTAACGTGATGTGATGTAATTAACTTCGCAAAATAAAATACTCAATGTATCTTCACCCCATACAGAATTATTTACAAATGAAATAGTTGCGTTATTCTTCCTTATGTTTGTCAGCTTTTTCAACCAGCTTGCCTTAGAGGTGAATTAATTTTTGGTGAATTAATTTTTATTTTATTAAGTTATTATTATAATAATAAATATTACATTTCGTTACTATTATTTTTTATTTTTATTATTTTTTATTTGCTCAATTCATCGTTTTTTGCGTTTTTTTCCCAATCAAGACATTTGTAACGCCGATGACCAAAGAATATTTAGACTGGGGTGAAAAAGAAAATAGTTTACTCCTATTCGCGGCTGGAATCGAGGTTTCATTATTATTATTATTATTGTTGTCGTTGTTGTTGTTGTCGTCGTTGTTGTTAGCAGTAATAATAGTGACAGTAGTCGTAGTAGCAACGACAGCAGCAGTAGTTGCAGTAATAGCAGCTGTCGCAGTAGTGATGGTAATAAAAATAGGAAATTTTCCGACGGACAATCTTACGACACGAAACAGATCATATTAGTTTTCCTCCTCTTGAGACCACTGAGTAGAAAGATAGACGACAGATGGTTTATACTGGCTGGCTCAATAATTCAACTGTTTTCCCTTGTCTTCCTCGTTATATACGTGCACTTGGCTGATCGAAGTACGAGTCACTGACAATTTTTTTTAGTTTCATTTTTTTGAAATTATTTGTTTCGTTGTTAACGTTTGGTTAAGATTTTACTGATTTGAGTTGTTAATGATGGTGTGTGAAGTGTATTTTATTTTTTAGGTTGAGTGCGGTCAAGTTATTTGTGGTGATATTTGTTATAAGGTTATTATCATTCTGTTATTGGTGGCAATGGTGTGCACAGGCTTCGGTGGTTTTCGTTCATTTCAATATTTGAAAGAAAAATATAAATTTAAAGTTTTACTTTTAAAGTTTTACTTTTACTTAAAAGTTTATTTGGGTAATTTTCTTTTACATGTTGAGTTACTGGTTAGTATTTGAAAGAAAAATGTGTTTCAAAGTATTCAAATAAAAAACAATCTTAAAATTATAACTAAATGCAATTATTTTTCAAAAAATCAGTTTCGACTCACGAGTTGAAGTTGGTGTTGTTCCTTCTCATCGTGTCCGTCAACGTCGTCAGTCTTCCACTGCTGATGCTGTGCAGCAATTCCCTCTTCACCAAGTTGATTCCCATGTCCATACAAGGTTTGGGTTTTGTATTTACTAGCACATATATCACGTTCTTTTTCTACCCTATAATGGTTTAAATTTATATTAAATTTATAAATTAGGTTTATTTTGCTCTAGGAACGATTTTTGTATTATTGAATAAAATCTTGTGTTACTAAAAAACCGTTTCTTTTTATATGATTTTCAAGTAAATTATCATTCAAACAGACACCATTATGAATAATTTTCAGGATTTGCTCAGGGCATTCGGAAGATGTTCGCGGGTGCCGGGACGATTCTTGGACCACTCTGGACTGGAGGAATGATGGAAAGATCATTTTACATGTTCATCATCATGATCGCCATCAACTGCTTCGCTCTGGTTGGTTAGACCATCGTCGTCATCGCCGTCATCATCATCTTTGTAAACGAATAACTAAAGATACGGATTTTTTATTTTCAATCTAGAAATATAATATGATCCGATTTCTTTTTCTTTTCTATGTCTATGTTAAACGAATTATTTCTATATTTCTTAACCCTCCTAAATGCATTGGTTGTAAATAATTTCAATTCGTAGGTAGAATTAAGCTTCTACAAATTTTTTTTTTTAATTTCCTCGCAGGCTCTACTCTTCGCAACGTTCTATAAACTCAGTTCAGCGTACTTCATACCTCTGCAGCTAAGAAGGCATCGCGCGCAGCAAGTAAACATCTCTTCATCACTCACATCCTCATCTTCATCGTCAGCGTCGTCCTTTTCATCATCATCTACATCGATGTCATTAATATCAGCGCTGCCGTCGTCACTGCCTACATGTTCGCTGGAAGTTCCAGCTCCTGTTCATAATCATGTTCATACTACTCTTCGTTGTAATGCTAACGATGATGATAATGGAAAAGATGATGATGAAGCGGAAGATGATGTAAGTGAAAAGAGACCCTTACTATCATAAACTGTGATATGAACAAACTTGTAGCAATCATTCTCACGCATACCAGATAAACTTACAGAGTTCAGATAAACGTACATATAGAATTAATGTTTCCAATTAAATATGAAAATTTCTTTTTCTATTTGATTTGTCTATTTATAATATTACCTTTTTCTGAATAAAGTTTTCAATTCACATTTATAACAAACCTTCAGAAATCTTATATATAAAATGTGGTAATGTTCTGGAGTCTTATGCATATCTAGATTCACCACAATTGCCAGATGTACATACGTTCACGTTTTATAGCGTATTATTGGCGCGAATTATACATTTTAATAGTTTATCAATGTTTCTATTTAAAGGTTGTTAATATTTATATTCAAATTATATTACATAAATAAGTTACTAGTTATATATGAAGCCCATATTGGCTGATAAAAATTTTATTCAAATTTGATCATTTTGTTTTTAATGGTAACACACACCACACACACACACACACACACACACACACACACACACACACACACACACACACACACACATAATTGTATAACATTTTGACTCCAAATAATCTGATGTCTTAAAATTTAATTCAGCATGTTAATTAATTAATTAATTTACGAAATTAACCTAATATTCTAAACCTTATTATTTTCCCTCTCATATACGTGTTTTATTCAGAGTAAGATGTCATTAATTAAAACACATTAATTTAGTCTTTCCATGTATTCGTTATATCTTCTCATTGTAACCCAAAAAAAGTATGGTTCGATAGCTTTTATTATGTTTTGAAAATTAGCTTAATTATTTTAATAAATCAACAGCAGTAATATGAATTTCTGGTTTATTTATAATCAAAATGAAAAATTAATAATTTAAAAAAACAAAACAAAATGAAACCGAAATGCATTTTAGCAGCGGATTTACATAAAAAAAATTATTCAATTCATTCATACCCATTGTTCATTTAATGTGTAATTTCAAATTTAACAAAAAAATTTACTTGAAAAAATTTCATAAAGAATAAACAATTATATTAGTAAAAAAAAGTATTGTGTTATAACAAATAAATAAATTTATTTATTTATAATTATTATTCTTACAATAAATTATACACAGGGGATACGCAGTAGTCTTCTCCAACACCAAAGTTCAAAAGCGTCGATCCTTCTTCTTTCCGCTTTCTTGATTGTCCAACTTTCACATCCATAAATTGCTATGGGAAAGACAATGGCGTTGACGAGTCTCGTTTTCGTTGCAATGCTCACATCTTTGCTCCTCCAGATTTTATCTATTCCTTGCATTGCAGCCCGGCCGAGTGCAATCCGCCTTTTGATCTCTGGTCAAGATTCGCCGTTTCAGTCAATTTTGGCTCCCAGGAAAATAAAATCTTGTACTGTCTCGATCTGTTCATTGTTGATCTTGATGTTTACTGCATCATTGCATGCCGTTGTCATTACTTTCGTTTTATTGATGTTGAGGTACAGTCCCATGCGTTCACTTTCCTCTTGAACTCGTTGGATCAAGTATTTCAGGTCTTTCTCACTTTCTGCGAGTATAGTTGTGTTATCCGCATATCGCAGGTTAACCTAATATATAATGTACAATTCAATGTTAAAACTTCAATCGATCAAATAATTTCTGTGATGATCATCAGCACTTCGTATCGTATATTACAAACAGATTCGCTCTTAATTTCGTAATTGATGGAGAAGTATTCAAGAAAAAGGGAAAAAGTTGTTGAAAAAATAAGTTGAAAAGAAAAAACAAAATCATTGGATTTGATGTCATTTCATCAAGGATACTATTGTAGCCATATTAGAAAATACTCTTAACTCAAACATCTAAACATTCATAAAAACGTCTGAAAACGTTATAGGTCAAATAGTTACTGATATCTGCAATATAAATGTTTCACCCCGTAGTTCAAATAAGCACAACCGATAAATTAAAGGAATCGCAACGGAGTTGTCCAGGTAATTTTCACTCAAAGCACAATTCTCAACCTTAAATACACTCACTAATCTTAAGCAAATTATGTAAAAAATAATTTCTGTATGCAAATTTTTTATGAGTATATTCATTATTCAACAAATGCTGAAGAACAGCCATGAAAAATCTTTATCGATTTAATAATTGGAGAATAATTATTTATTTTGACACTTGAGAAAAATCAGTTAATTTTTTGTGTTATTTAACAATTTTAAATAACAATTTCAATTTAAGAAATGTCATCAACATTCCAAATGAACAATGCACAATGCTTGGCAATGAAATCATTCGAGTTGAACAGGTTACGTCTTAAGGTGAAGAATTTTCAAAAAGCAATCTTCATGTTCTTGTCGGTGGTACCGTATACCAGCCAAGTTAAGCTTATGTTAACTTGGCAACAAACGATGGCAATGTCACTCAAGTAGAAAATTATCGGAAGGTTCATATTGGTTATCAACTTGACAGCTCTGATGAGGACCAGTGGAGTCCAACATAAAAAGAAGAAACCAACAATGACCGCTACTGACTTCGCTGCTTTGAATTCCTGCTTTTTTGTAGGAAGTTGGTTTTCTGAAATAGATGATAATGTCTTTATTCAAAAAGCATGACAATTATAGATACACAGTTAAATCAGATCAGAGCTACATTTTTAATATATAACTAAATATATATATATAATATATATATATATATATATATATATATATATATATATATAATTGAAACGTTGAAACGACAGACGATTTTGCTTGACCGTTCTACGCTCCTGCCCATTTGATGAAGCAGCATTGAGAATTGACCCGTCAATCACTGTTGTATTCTTTACAGTTTCTGATGAGATTTTTTTTCTTTGCTGAATTGCCACAACCAAGATTCTCGAATAAGTGAAAATCATCGCACCTGTCACGACGATGAAGAAACTGAATAGTGTGGTAGATATTTGCGTGTCCGTGTAAGGTGTTGCACACAGAGATGTGCCGGTGATGACGTATGTGGGTATGTAAAGAGCTGTTACGACGGCTGACGCAAAGATCGTCAGCTTCACGTGCGTCATCGTCACTAACGTCTCGTAGTGGAATGGATGAACAATCGCCAGGTATCTGTGTCTTGTCAGGAAGATTTTAACATTTGCAGGACAACTTTGTGTGAATTGATTAGTGCGGTAAATCATTGTTATATGATTTAAATGAGAATTAATGTTCAGTATTGAGCTGCAAAATTTATAAAAATTAAGCAAAAAATTTACGTAACTCTTAATGGACTTTTTATATTTTCATAAAGTGTTTTAGAATCGATTTCAGCTTGTTACAATTGCAAAAAAATGTTATTCATGCGAAAATAATTTCAAATTATTACTGCAACATGACGAGTGAATTAATTTGTAACCTTGTGTAACATTTTTATATCAAAGTTTATAATCGCTGTTAAGCATTTTAAATCCAATTGTGAGGAATTATTTTTAAAAAACTACATTGACAACAATTAAAAATTTTAAGTCGTTCATTTTTTGCTATGTCAACAATTTTCTTAAATACTTTGTTAATTTATAATGTAAAAAACCTTTCAACGCAGAGCAGCACGACTTGAAAATAAACGAGAACTGGAGTTAATTGCTGGAAAGGTACGGACTGGAGAAGATCAACCTTCGTGGTGCACGGCGGGGTCTCCAGGTAGAACATACGGAGATTCCAGTACGCCTGGTAATAAACAGACCAACCACAAATTATAGCGCTTATGGACAGACTGGCTACTAGCGCAGCTGTTAATTTGCGCATGCTGGAAACGTGTCTCTTCAGAGCTATCAATGTCATGGAATTTCCGAGACAGTTTACCGTTCCAGCTATGATGAGGATGATGCTTTTTATTAAAGCGGAGTTCTTTGAATATAAACTACTGATATCGGACGCAGGAAGAGTGAGAAAGTGATCTTGTACATCGGCTGACTTGTTCGTGGAAACTGTGGCTACGTCGGATGAATTAACAACAGCATCCGTCGAAGTTGCAAATCTTGAGTTTGCGGCATTCATAAAATTTGACGCCAATAAATTTTCGGTTGTCAAATCATTTAACAAACGCATTGTCGAAAATATAATTTTAAATAGAAATTTTCACAAAAGTCAAAATCTCACATTTCTTACGGACGAATAAATATCCGATTTTGTTGGACTTAAACATGTTGGGGTGATGTCAAAATCTTTTTATACCAAACAGTATTTACATATACGTAAATATAATATGTATATAAAAAACAGAAGCACTCCTAAAGATTCGTACTTTACATTTTTTAACGCAGGAGAACATTCGCAACACCGATAATGCCCTTTTTGTTGAAGGCAATTTGATTTTATTAACTTGTGTCGTGACAGTGAGTCTCTCCTCTCTTCTATAAAAGATCTTTTTCCGCAAATTATCAACACTACAACAGTTTTATGTGGACAGTTTATCAAGAATGCTGAAATTATCATACAGTTTTAATAACTAATTGTCCCAATCTGACATTAGAAATCACTTGAAAAGAATTAAATCAAATTTGTTTAACTCAAACGTGCAAGGTATTCATATGCGTCGATACACTTATTTGGATTCATTACACGCGATATCACCCGCCGACAAAACAATGGAGTAAAAAAGACACGCGTGACAAAAACTATTCAGCGATATGTTATACACAGGATCTTATAATTGACAATGTTGTTAGAATACTTAGAAATTAAATAAATGCACCGAATTTCATTCAAATTTTCTACTGTACCTTTTCACCGAGCAGTCAATTTGTAAATTAAAAAATTCAAACATGCACCTCACGTCAATCAAATCTCGTTCGGCGCACGAGTGAAGAAAAAAAAATTGTTGAAAATTTTGAATCACCATTCAGTCTTCTCAGAATCACAATTAAATAAATCTCTCATTCAATAAATTTATATATTATACAATAATGATTTAACGATAAAATATTAAGAAAGGATCATAGGGACGTTGAACTGGAGGCCGTGAAGGCGTGTAGGTTTCCGGCTTGTGTCAGTCCGCTCTGAATGTGGTTCATGTGGATTTCTATGCTGTTCTGGAAAACTCTGAAGCAAATGTTTAAAAAAATGCTACTTTGGGCTGAAAAAAAATTTGTACAAAGAAAACAGGAACATACGATAGGTTGCTGGGGTTTATTTGGCTTTTGATAGCATCTAAGGACTCTTGCAGAGACTTGAATTCAAACGAGTGCATCTCACTATCTGCAAAGGTCTAAATGTAAAAAAATTGACTATACAAACAAAATGTGGTGTGAACAAATAAGTAAATACATCAAAATAAGCGAATAAGCGTTATCACTTTACAATATCATAAACTGAAGACAGAAGATATTTTCTGAGTCATGATTATTTCATCTATATGAATAAAACCAAAGAATGCTTGCTGGACATTTGTTCATAAACATTTACATAGGCAAGCATTTTTTAATCAGCCATTTTCAAGCGTTAACATTTTTCTATATTAACTTTAAACATAATTATACTTTAATAATTGAAAAGCACCACATACCAAAAATTTTGTGATAGTGGTTTAGCAAAAATAGTGGTTTAGCAAAAATAATAAGATAATAATCATAATAATAATAATAATAATAATAATAAGATACATAAAGAAGGTACATCGTTATAAATAGCAAATATTGTTCCAATGTATTTTCGTAGCACAAGCGAAATTTCAGATGAATGGTCAGGAAACGCACAGTGAACAAAAAAGTGAAGAAACGAAAGAATGGTGAACCTACTCTTATTTGCAACAAAAGTGACAATAAATTGCATATCAACTTCAGGTTTTTTCCATCTTTAATTCTTTGTTCTCCGTTCTGTAACAAAATTTATTTTTAAAATCAAATGTCAGTGTCAAAAACCTCTACACAAGAATACTGTTGAAAAGAACGAAACTTCGAAAGTAAAACTCTAATCAGAAAAAATACCAAAACATAAAAATACCTTTTGTGAGATGTTCCAAAATAAAATTTAAACTTTTTACAATTGAAAGGGAAGTTGAAAATAAGCGAGCTGTTATATAATTTAAAAAAAACCTGTGATATATTTGTATTTTGGACGATGGACTCTGCTTCCAATTGGCATTTCTTCTTAATTTCAATTGTCTGGTTAAACAATGCCACAGCTTGGTCTGGATCCACCTGGTGACGAAAAAAAATTATTATATTGAAATTGAAATAACAGCTGATTTTTTTGTTGAATTACATGTTTGTCTATTTTAAAATATTAACAATAAGATTTGACGTAATGGTTTTAAACCGGCAAATGAAAATTCTATTTTTATGTTAAGATAAGTTTGATTCACAATTCAGCATTCACAATTTACCTCTTTCCAAGTTTGTATAATGCCAGAGAAATAATCCTTGATTTTTTTATTGACCAGATCAAAATCTAGAAGTAACTTTGCATATTTCTGTTGGAAGGGCACGTCAAAGTCCTTACCCTGACATTTCTGGAATTTACGTTTCGTCAAAAAACTAAATAGCTCATAAATTAAGAAAACAAAATATAATTTGAGATAAAAAAAGATTGCAAAAACGTGTTAATAATGAAAATAAGGAATGTAAATTATTGTGAAGAAGAAAGCCTAAGAAGGTAAGAACGAACAAGTCTTTCAGCGTCAGTGTTCAGGGTTTTCATATCCTGCAACATTTTTTTCTTGATGCCAAGTAACTTTGTGACTTTTGTCTTTATCCAACAAATTCAATTTTTAAATAAATAGAAACAAATAAGAAAAACAATTTTTGTTTATTTTAATTTATTTGTCTTGTCAGATCAATTCCAGCAAAAAATAAAAATTAAAAATTAATTCTCTTAGATATTCCTCAGAGGTTATTACAACAAACACACCGTGCATAAACACACATGAACCAAGGCACCACAGCCTTTCCACACAGGAAAGGAATGTATTTAGTAAAGTGAACGAAAATAAAACAACATAACAAATACTAACAACGTTAATGAGAAACTTGACAGGAAAGCCTCCGAGCGTGTTGCCCTCAATTTCGAGGGAAGGACCCTTGGAAGGCGTGCTGCCTAGCAAAGGATCATTCTCCTTGAATATGATACAAATACATCATAGAAAAATAAATTTTCTTTTTTGATATATTGCCAATGTTGTGCATGGAAAACATTAAATCAGCTAAATAAAATAATCTACGAACCAGTCCAGGACTGTTGATGGCTGAGGAATGTCGAGGTGGTGTTGGGAACATCTGTCTAGGAGGTCGCTTCACTCGATTCTTGAACGAGGATAAAGGCAAGGTTTCGTAGGAATCATTGCTCTGCAAATGTTTTCAGGAAAAATTACAGGTTTCAATAAGTGGGGCATTAAATGGTAAATACATTATAATAGAGTAGTAATCGATTGAATGGATGTAAATGAAAATCCAAATTCAAATGAAAAAGTTTAACAATCTTAAATGATGGTATTGAAAAGTATTTGTAATTATGAAAACCCAGCAAAATGGTGATAACAAGTAAGCATGATGAGAGCACTAACGAGAACGTCAATGTCGGGTACAGTGTGAGTACCAAGTCCTTCCTTGTCGAATGTTACTCGATAGGCACTGTTGCTTGTGTCAATGGCGTCTATAACTCCTGTGAACAGTCCATTTTGCGGTCGGCGCAGACGAGCTGTGGTTAGATTCAATGTAGCTTCAAGTTAATGCAATTTGAAAGTGAATGTGTTTAGTAAAGTGAACGTAACTAAAATCTGAATGTCGTTCAAATTTGAATGCACTTCAAATCAAAAGTAACCTCTTCATAAGAGAAAACATTTTAAAAACACCATTAAATTTAAATCTTAATGATTAAATTTTTAATTTGAAAGTTACAAAGAACAATGTGGGAAAGTTTTACAAATAATTTAGTATCAAAAAAAAAATTTTTTTGTAGAAAACAATAACGTTCAATAAACCTGTAACTTTGGTGCCTACAACAAGTGACCTTGGAATTTCATCTGGGAGATCTCTCAAGTCGATGTGGTCGATGTTGTCGGTCGTCTTGCGCTGTTGCAACAACCGAATTTTCTGTCTCTTGCATGCCAACGCTGACCGTTCTTCTTCAAAGAAGGCTGCAGAACACCTGAATGACCATCAGGAAATCATATTGTTTTACATTTTATTTCAGTAACCAGTCATATCCACAAAATGTTAGCACGTGGGATTAGGGAAAAACTCAAAATCATTATTTTCCAATGTTCCATTTCAACCAATGAAAGAGAATCAAACGAATAATTTTTAAATAATTAATTTCTGAAATATTTCCTTCTTAGTTTTGTTGCTATACAACTCAAACTTTTTACTGATTTAATTTATAAACCCTGCATTTATTTTTAACTCTCAATTGATCCAATGAATGTTAAAATAGATTTGAAATCATATATGCAAAGCTAAATATGATCATATAATAGAAAAGTTTCCTAAGTACACTAATGATGGATAATGTTAGAAAATTGACGAGCAGTTGTGAATGCGAACCTTCTTGGCTTGCCCATAAGTCTCCTGATAATCCTCCACTGAATCCTCGTCAATGTTCTCGTCTTCAACTGAGGAAAAGATTCCTTCAAACATATTCCAAAATCGTTCTCACCTTCAAACATTGCCCTGTTGTAAGTGTAAAATGTTTATACTTCAGACAATGTTGGCATAATTCTGCCGATTCAAGCTGTTCATGAAGTAATATGAAACCTTTTAACACAAACGCCAAAGAAAAGTTTAGTAAACATTACATAAATAAATAATAAAATAAAATTACTAAAAAAATTTTTAAAAAGAATAATGAAAAATATCCATCTGCAAAGGAAATTAATCAAAATGGTAATACACTATTGCAGCTAAACATTCATTTCACATATTTTGAATTGATAATTATTTTATTTTAGTCCAACCCATAACGGACGGAGACTATAAATGAAGATTGAATTAAATTGACAATTATTATATTTGAAAATTTGAAAAATGTATCAAGACCATTTTCCTATTTTTAAATTACCAATAATCCAAAAAAATGTTACAAACAATGAAAAGAAAATTTATAAAATGAATAAAAAATTCTGACTTGTCAATATTTGAGTAAAACCATTCATAGTAAACCCAGAGTTGGGCTTTAGGCAATTTTAACAAATTCTTTAACTTGTTTCCGACAATTTGTGATACTTTCCTATCGTGAGATTTCAGTGTCGACTTTGGCTGGGAAAATGAAACAATATTTGAAACGATATCCATATGAATAAAAAGCAATGCCATGAAGCTTGATAAGAACAATATTTGCAACAGAAACATTATATGGTGGAAAAAATGCTGCTCACTGTTGAATCTAGCCTCATATGCTTTCTGCTTTTTGGTGTTGTAGGAAGCTCAACAACATCATCACCGAATATTCGAGAATTAGGCTTTCGTATTCTTTGAAGCTTTGAATCATTTTTAGTAACATTTGAGAATAGATATTAGTTTGATTTTAATTAATTAAATTTACGATATTTAAATGACAGTCCAAAACATGACTTACTCCTGATCTTCTGGTGGGAGTTATGGGAAAATTTTTTTCTGTAACAAATAATTAATTAGTTTAGTAATTTAGTTATATTGTTATAATTAGAATATGAAAACAGAGCGATAAATAAATTGATGAGTGACATCAAGTTTGTGGTTGAATAGATGATATAAATTATTTTCAAACCATAACAAAAACACAAATGTGTAAATGCACCATGCCATGAAGCTTGATAAGAACAATATTTGCAACAGAAACATTATTTAATTTTGATATTTATTAATTTATTCCATTTTCATCAAATAAATAATTCATTTTTAAAATATATAGTTTGTGAATTAGTTTTTTTTTAAAAAGTAATTAACATAATTTAATGAAAATATCTAAAAATTCTTTTGATTGATAAATTAAGTAACAAGTAGTGATTATTTATTAATATATTTATAAAATATTCATTATTAAAATTACATTATTAAATTAAAATTTATTCAAAATTCCTCACATACTTTCTCGCATACTTAACAATACTTCAGCGGAGGAACCTGAAAATTAACAAATTTTTTTTCCAAATAAAACCAATAAAATACAGTACGAAAAAAATAATGTACGAATTCAAAAATTTGAAAATGACTAAACAACACCGAACAGTTAAAAAGACATTTGCATACTTTCCAGCAAACTTCTATTTTCCGCCATTTTTTGTGTTTGTCAACAAAATGAATAAATATTCGTGGAGCTTCATTTTTATAAATCCTGGATATATATATATCCATGTTATAAATACCATTTTCGGAGAAAGATTACACATCGATGGCCGTCAATTTACAAACGAACAAAGTTTTGTAAGTTTATTGCTCAAATCTTCATGCATGTCAATGTTGATTATAAGTATATAAATATTGTTTGTTTATTTATATTTTCCGGCGTTTCAGCACAAATTGGCTATCTTCACGCCCACTTCTTTCAATTTTATTTAGTTAGTAAAAACATTCTTCTTCTTAAATTTTATGAATTAAATCAGTCTCAATCAGAAATTTTATTAAATTCTATATGTTCATTTGGTTAAGAACTACTTCTTGCATATTCGTTGGAATGTTATGTCGTTTTCTTTGGTCGCTATATTTGATACACTCAAGGATGATGTGATGAACTGTCAGTTTTGTTCTGCATGTTTCACAGTTTTTTTGCTTTATTTTCTCTAATATCCATGAATGAGTTATTTTTGTGTGACCAATCTTTATTTTATTTACAACTGTTTGATGTAGTCTCGGCATATTTATATTTTTTAATTCTTTGAACGGAATTTTTGGAGTTGATATTTTGAGAAACTTTTTCGTTTCGTTCCATCCCTGTTGCCATAGAGAGTTGGTGTACCCTTTTATTATTGTTTTGATGTCAGTAAATGGTATTGGTATATTAGATATTGGAAGACCATGAGCTAAATTCGCTGCTGTATCTGCTTTTTCATTTTCTTTTATTCCAATATGACTTGGTACCCACACCTTGTTGATATTATTGTTATTTGTTATTATGTTTTGATGTATTAAATTTTGAATCACTATTATTAATGGGTTATTGGGTCTATGATGTTTTATTGCTATTAGGCTAGATAAGGAGTCTGTAAATATTATATACTTGGTATTGTTGTTTCTTATAATATAGTTAAGTGCCATTTCTATTGCTGTGAGTTCCGCTGTGTATATTGATGCATATTGGGGTAAATGTTGTAGTATTGTATGCTTTTTGCTGGGGATCCCAACTGCTGATGATGTTGAATTTGCCTTTTTGGAACCATCAGTGTATATTGCTATACAATTTTGATTTGTTTCTATAATTTCATATTTTATTTTGCATTCTTCTGTGTTTTTTTCATATTTGGTGATTGATAGGTCTATTTCTGGTATCTTCATTGTCCATGGAGCCACTTCTGATATTATTTCTTGTTTTATCTTTATCTCTTTCAACATTTCAAGATACTTTTTCAGCCTTTCATCTATTGTGTATATAAATATAACTTCAAGAATACAAATGACACCCTAGAACAACATAACATAGTCTTAGCGTACGAAACCAAGGGGAGGACTAGAATAATAGGACTAATCGATCAATTCGATCTATCGGTCGGGCTATTTGTCGTGCTTGGATTGTTGGCTTACGAAATTGCATGGATTTTAACGAGCAAGCTAAATGATATTTACTTGATTTAATATGCTTAAAACATTGTAGTAATTCTATTTAATTTTAATAATGATAAATAGAATTATGTATTATTAAATTATTTTTGTTAATTTGAATACAAAAATTGCTTTTGGTCCGGTGAAATCCGGTGGCTTACTGAAGCCGAAGGTCGGCTTAGTAGGATTGAACTATAGTCACCCTTTTTTTTACACTATTCGATCATGTTAAAAATTGGTTTGCTTATGAAATAAACGGCCTAAATAAATCAAAATTGTTATTTGAACAACTATCTTCATTATATTCAATGAATATTTTACACTCTGCTGGTGCTCATTAGAAACTGGCTGCTGAAATCATACGTTGGCTTACAGCAGTGGCTTGCAGGGTTTCTTAGAACTCTTACGATAGCACTTTTTTGTACATATAATGCATTGAATAAATCAATATATTCATATCACAATTATTTTTGTCAGTATAAATATAGAAATTGCTTTTGTCAGGTGAAAAACAGTGGATTACTGAAGCCGTAGGTTGGTTTAATCGGATTTTTTCTCATGTATACAATACTATGAGATAAATCAATCAGTCGGTCGGTCGGTCGGTCAGCCAGTCAGTCAGTTTGTCAGTCAATCAATCAACCAACCGATCAATCAACCGATCAATCAATCAACTAAATTGAATGAATCAAATAAAAACAAAAATAAAAACAAAAATAAATAAAAAAAATTTGCAAGGCCTGTTCAAACTCGAACAAACAGTTAACCGTACAGATCTACAAACAATTTCGAGATTTTAGTAAAGAAAGAAAAACACAATAGTG